ATCCCATCCCATCCCATCCCATCCATTCATTCACCAATCCATCCATCCACGCATGCATCTATGAATCCATTCATACTTACATCAACTTACATCTATCCATTACGTCCGCATCACCACACGAGCAGCGCCATGGGACACGGACATGCCGCGGGCGAGGAAACGGTTACAGAGGGTTGCCAAATCCCAGGCCAAATCTTCCCATGTGCGGAGATCTCTGAGTCCCGTCCCCTGCACTAACAATGTAGGTTTAGATTAGCGGAAGACGCACCTCATGAAAACCTAACGGCCAAGCGACCTCAACAAGAAAACCAATGTCGTGCGACCTCACCACAAATGAAGACAGCTCCACAAGCCTCCAGATGGAGACATACCAGTCGTCACGCTGACGCGACATCATCATCACATCAGCACCACCACCCACCACACATGCCATCCAAACCAGCTCCACGGCAAAACCCTTCGCCAAGCTGTCGGGCACAAGATTTTCTAGCACAGGCAGCCTAGCCTTTGTCTATTCATCTTGAACGGGGGCATGACAACTCCAGCGGTTGTGGCTAAAAAAGTGTTTACCTTGCTTTCGACACTCGTCACAGCGCCACGAGTGCCTCTTCAGCATTTGTGCGGTTTCCCAGACCTTAGATCGGCGGAAGCGGAGGAAGATCTGCACTGGAATAGTCGCAGATCGTCAGTTCAAGTCTACAGGCTCTTGGGAACTACATCGTATCACATGTCCAAGGTTTCCATGAGTTTCCGCAGCTCTGCCTTTTTTGATATGGGTGTTAAAGAGAAAGAGTGGCTTAAACAAAGGACTCAGCATGCAAAGGAGTTCCGAAGGAGAGACGAGTTAGTTCTGAAACCACATGAGTGGAAATGCAAATCCCGTCCGAACGCTCTGGCTTGCAGTGCCGAGGTATCCTTACTTTTCATTTTGCCCGCAGCGGCCACACCCTCAAGCTGTATGCAGAGAGACGGAGGGACGGCGTGTTGTGGGGGTCAACAACGGAGAGGAGGTCTTGTCGTAGTATACGTGGGTATACGTGGGTGCAAGGCGCAATAATTTACGGGTCGACGTCAAGCCTTTTGGACCCAGGTTTGTGCTTTGGGCCTTCCCAACTTACATGCGAAAAAAAGAGGAACAAACCAGCGGCTGCGGTGAAATGGTCGTGGACCCGGACATGGAGGACGTCCGCGTGAGCGACCTTGCATGGCATTCTTTGGTCGGTCCGATTTTATGATCTTTGTGAGCTGATTGTAATCTATGGGTAGTATCTGTGCACTCATGCACCACACTAGTTCGAGTAGATGTTGCTTGCAACTCATGACTTTGCGGCCCTGGAGGGGGTCCCAGATCTTGCAGATGCTGATGCAGCATTGGAGCTCACGGCTCGGACTCGGGTCAGGGTGTGATGGAATTCAGAATCCGTAGCTTTTCGACATTCTGAGTGCATTGGAATGGTCTCCGCTTCGCTGCCCATGAAAGGTTCTCGCTGCTGCAGAAATCACTGACACTGCCAGGGGCTCAGCGCCAGATCCTGGCCAGACGTTGTGCTGCCACTCCTTCGCGAAGACGGTCGCAAATGATTCGCAAAAGTTTCAATACACCAAGGCAGCGAGACCAGGAGCTGTTTCCTCATTCTTCACGACCGCGACCGTCTCTGTTTTCAGTCCTCCGATGCGCTGCTTGCAGTAGAGTGACTAGGTTCAGCAAGGGGTGGGCATCCGGGCTCCAGCGCGCGAGCTTCAATTCTTTAACTTTCGTTTTGATTCCTAGGAATCCAGGTTTAAACGCTGGCCACTTTAACATCGTCGGAGATGGGTGAACGAAGGGTTCGTAAGCTTTCGAGTTCTTGGTGCCTCAACTGCTTCCAGAGCAGCAGCCGGATTGGATTTGTGGGAGTCTTTCTTGTCCGCCTGCTAATTAACCTAGTTGTCAGCCTGAGAGCCAGAACAGGGAAGATTGTAGTGACACAAGATAGCACAAGTGGCCTTCACGCGCCAGGCTTTTGAGTTCGCCTTTGGCTGGCGTGGCCCTCTGTAGGGCTGAGTGGTCGAAAGAGTGGTGGCATCTTGTTGTCTTCATCGTAACTCGTGCTGGGCCACATGATGAACAGCATGTCGTGGATCCTGAAAGCCACGATCCATTGATGCAGCATTGCAACGCGAGCAAGCCTAGGAGCACACTCATACACAGGACAGATGCGCATCGCCAAACTTCTTTGAGCTCTCTTGCCCAGGGGAGGAAATGCAACGTCCACCCTCAATGCGAGCACGCCCTTGGAGACATCCTCAGACCCGTTTCTTGCTTCTGTTCTTCGGGCCAGTCGGTTCCGAACGAGCATTGAAGGCAGCAGGCCCTCAGGAAATGCAATCGCAGTGCAGAGTCAGGCACTGGCAGCATACTTACTATATGCTGACGTGTCGCACCCAGGCTCTCATGTCGTTGGTTTCGTCAACGGCGACGCAGAGAACGCGCGACATAATAGCTTGGTTGCAGCCTCGGCATGATCGCGCCGACACCATCTGTCAGGACTGGCAGGGTCAGCTGCTTTTTCCATTAATTATGCTTCGCCGGCACTCTTGCCGACGCTTACCGTCTATTGCAACGCTCTTGTTCGCATCCTTGCTTTCGAGATCGCTCGCAGTCCGACTTAGAGCGCTGCAGTATGCTGCCGTGCTGTGACTTGCGATCCGGAAGCCAAGAATTGCAGCTGTCTTTGGCGGATGTGCGGCTCAAGCCACGCTCTACTTGTGGGACCCTCGGTCTCCACCGATCTACTACCCCACTACGCTTCCGGTAACGTGCCTGGGATGGGCATTGGAAACCTTGAGGAGAAAGGTTGGGTGTGAGGAAGTTGTGTAAGACTTCAATGGCTGGGAGTTGGTTTCCAAGACGAGCAGGAAGCCTTGTTGGTACAGCCGCAGCGGCCGTAGATGTATGTTGGCCCTTCGATCAAGAGTCTTCTTGGTGTTTTGGTATATCCGACGAGCCTGAAGAAAGTCGCGCAAGCCTTGCGATCTAGCATAGTCGGTTCGGTTGCTTAGTGTTCGTTTCGATGATGTTAGGCCAGGTAGCATTCCGTGCTCCTCTCGGTTTAGAAAGGTTCAAGCTGGCGAATCTGAGGAAACCAACTACGAAATGCGTGTCCTCCTGCTCGCCGCCCTTCCCTGCCTCCTCCTCGCGCCTCTTGGTGAGCGGGAAGTGTGCTGAAGTCCTTCGGCGGTGAAGACAGGTCAGTACGTTTGGAGCAAGGCAAGTGTGGACATGAAGACACGATCGACTAGATGCATTGTTCTCCTCTGCAACGGGTAGAAGCATTGCTTGCGCTGCATAGGCTTAGGCTGGGAGAGGGGAAGTCGGTGTGCCGGTGGTTGCTGAGGGCAGGAAGGGGTTCCAGGATGTTGTAGCTTTGCTGCCCAGGATTGTCACGGACACGGACACACGAAGTTCGGCAGCGTGGCAGAGAAGTCTAAGAGCCGACCTGTGCTGTTTGAGCTGCTGTAGACGAGCCGGTGGCTTGCTAGAGGAGGGCAGATGCTCGGGAGAGGCAGTGAATTGGCGTTGCTTGCAAAGCCAAACTCTGCCGATGCCACCCGAGGTCGCCATTGAGCTGAAAAAGCGTCGCGGTGGTCTCAAGAGGCTTGTGGAAGTGTTTTTTCCGCAGTCCCTCTCCCCTAAACCTTGGTGGTCCTTGCTACCTCTATCGTTAGTAGAGTCTTGTGAGAGGCGATTTGGGTCGACGGTCCTTACGCAGACAGATATGGCCTACACTGGCAAGGTGCGTGGGAG